CAGCTCTTCTGGGAAGGCTGTCCACAAGGTTTAGGAGTGTGTTTATGGGGATTTTTGACCATTCTTCCAGAAGTGCATTTGTGAGGTCACACACTGATGTTAGATGAGAAGGCCTGGCTCTCAGTCTCTGCTCTAATTCATCCCAAAGGTGTTCTATCGGGTTGAGGTCAGGACTCTGTGCAAGCCAGTCAAGTTCTTCCACACCAAACTCTCTCATCCATGTCTTTATGGACCTTGCTTTGTGCACTGGTGCACCTTCATGCTGGAAGAGTAAGGGCCATGTCCAAACTGAAGTTGGGGGCATGGAATTGTCCAAAATCTCTTGGCATGCTGAAGCATTCAGAGTTCCTTTCACTAGACCTAAGGGGCCAAACCCAGCTCCTGAAAAACAACCCCACATCATAATCCCCCCTCCACCAAACTTTACACTTGGCACAATGCAGGCCAGTGAGTTCTCCTGGCAACTGCCAAACCCAGACTTGTCCATCAGATTGCCAGATGGAGAAGCGTGATTCATCACTCCAGAGAACGCGTCTCCTGCAGCTAACTCTAGCTGGAGCACCTTAACACCGTTCTGAAGTCAGATTAACTTTACCACTCTGTTCTACGTGACAGACACGTCTCTCTAGCAGACCACAACCTGCAAAAACTAAAGAAGCCCAACCATCTTCACAAATTAGGACATTAGCTGTTTTCACAGTGGCCAAGGGTGAGCAGTTAAACTAGGAGGCAGCCACAGATTACCCTGAAATAACTAATAATGCTTTAAAGGGGAAATGAAGCACTCAGTCAAGTTTGCTTTATTCCCTACATGTATTTCCACTGTATTCAGAAAGTAGATAACAAACACGAAAAACCTAAAAGGACAAAGAAGATTGTTTTGTGTCTTCTCTACAGAGGGCGCTGCCGCCTTGGAGTACGATAACCGGTGATGTCACGGGGTTGGTTAGCTTCACAGGTTTAGGAAAAGACAGACAGTAAAAGACAGACTGTGAACAATAAAGACAGTCAAAGATGGAGCCACTCCTGCATTACTACCATAGACGGATTACCGCATGGGCAAAGTGGACATGTGTCCAGGGCCCCAGAGCCAATAAGGGCGCTTGGCCTTCAGGTTTTTTTGGGGTTTTTTTTGTACAATAAATAAATAAGTAAAAATGTACCACTAAATGACTACTTTTTGTACAAAAAAAAAAAAAAGTACGTATGACGTCAAAACAGTTTGTTTTCAAAATGGAGAGGCGAGCGGTCAGTGGTTCCGAAAAAAGAAAGCTAAGGAAAGAAAAAGAGGATAAAAATGCTGCTTTGGTGCAGCAAATGCCATCAATCTCAACATTTTTCACCAAAAAACAGAGGCAAGATGACAGTAGGCCTACTCATAACAGCGGTGGAAGTTGTACTACACCTCACTGCTCAGAGGATCAGCGGGATGCTAACACTGCTAGCTCAAGTGCACCGGACCGTGGACCGTGAGTTAAATGAGAAAGCCAACACACTCGCCTCTGTCTATCCCGCTGATTTGGACAGCAATCTTGGAGATGAACTGATTCACTTCAGATCATTCATCAGATCAGATGGACAGAATGTGCCTCCATCAAAATGTCTTAAAACAATACTGGATTGTAGATTACAGTCAACATTCCCGAATGTGTACATCGCCCTGAGACTTTATCTGACACTTCCTGTCACAAAGTGCGAGGGAGAACGGTCGTTTTCTCAAATGGCCAGAATAAAAAATGAACTCAGGACCAAGATGACCCAGAAGTGCCTGAACAGTTTGTCACTCATGGCCATAGAAGCCGAACTTGTCCGAGAGTTGGACTTCAATGACATTATCCAGGACTTCTCCTTGAGGAAGGCCAGGAAAAAGCCGCCGGTTTAGGTGATATTTTATTTATTTTAATTCAGGAGTATTTTATTGTTATGTGGCCTGATGCGTGTATCAGTGCTGATTTATGTTGGCAAGATGGTTCTCGGCTCCTGAACTATAGATCATCACTGATACACACATCAGAAGTGGTACCATGGACAGCGCCAGTGATGTTTTTGTTTGTGTTTTGGTGGTTGTGTGTTGCCCAGTGTCATGTGCGTAATGCGCGCACTGGCAAGGGCCCGTGGTGATTATAATCCGTCTATGATTACTACTGGATATTTGAATTAATTTTACAGAGTTAAGGTGATGAAACAGACCACTTTCATAACCTGCCACTGAAACAGAGACCAGTCCTGATGCTCTGCACTGAAGACAAAGAGCCTCCGATGGACTCTGACTCCAGGGTTCGTAGTGAACATTTTCTGGAGGAGGATCACACTGAGGAGAAGGTGGTGGATTCCAGCAAGCTAATGGTTCACCGGACAACAGACTAGTCAGTGTTCAACTTCACCAGCTCAAACATCGCTCTGCTGACTGACCAACATACTCTGAAAACAGCCCGGGAAACAGAGCTACACCGAGCTAAACGGCTAACCATAAAAATCTGTATTTACTGTCACCTGTCACAGACACCTCGCTGTTTGATAAGAACATCATCACCGACAGCAATAAAGTTCATGTGCATGTTGATCTGGAAGATTTCCATCGCATCTTAGCAGCCTCAGAGTTATCTGATGGGAGCCAGACATCACAATATAGCAGCCAAAAGACTGTAATGAATAAAAAATCAACTGCAACCACTGTAAACACTGGGTCATCAGTATTCTACACTCACATCAGTTTACACCACAGACTACACGCCAGAGCTCAGAGCTGATGCAAACCTCTAAAAAAAACATTTACCTTGACTTTACATTTTCCAAAGCAGTCAGTCAAGATTCCAAACTTTAGATAATCCTCAGGTATTTACAATTCCGTCCTCAAAATTCTTCCCTTTGCAATGTTTCAGTGGCAGGTTATGAAAGTGGACTGTTTCATGGCTTTAACTCTGTAATATTCATTCTGATAACCACAAGTAATGCAGGAGTGGTTCCTCAGTCTCCATCTTTTACTGTCTTTATTGTCCACAGTCTGTCTTTCACTAAACATGTGAAGCTAACCAACCATGTGACGTCGCTGGTTATCATGCTCCAAAATGGCAGCGTCCTCCATAGAGAAGACACAAAACAATCTTCTTCGTCCTTTTATATGCGTAGGTTTTTCCTGTTTCTGAATAGAGTGGAAACACATGTAGTGAATTAATTAAACTCGGCTGTGTGCTTCATTTCCCCTTTAGAGCCTGATTGGACAATAACAGAATAGAAAACAGGTAACAAAACAGGCAGATGTAACCGCAGAAGACAAACTTATTGATCTCAATCAACTGATTTCAGTCAACTAGACAGCATCACATTTAACTCACTCCTATTTCTAATGTACATATTCAGTTATAGTAGTCCTTATTAATGAAGAAGCCTGGGTATGAATCACAGGTGCTCTGCTATCACATGCTGTTAGCAAATTATTTTTAATGAATATCAGGCCCGAATATCAGTTGGCCTTTCCTCAATCACCAATAACCACCCCTAAAAAAGAACAAAACAAAATGAAACAAACAAAAAAACATATTGGTCGATCACTACATTAAATGAAGTCAGATTCAAAATTCCTGTTTCATTTTGTTGACATATTACAACCCTGGGTTTTTACAGAGGAAAGACATAAAATGTTCCATAAATCAAGCTGTGAATTATAGCAAAAGGAGGCCCTGTGTGTAAAATAAAAAATAAATAAATAAAATAAAAAAAATTTCAGGGTATAGGAGGGTATAAAACTGGCAAGTTTGGCTTATTCGCCACTTGAGAGCTGAGTGCTTTGGGCTGTGATAGAAAGCACATGTAGGCACCACATATCCTGCTGGGCTTGATACTCAAGTTTATAGCATAAATCTGAAAAACATCATGTCCCAGGTAGCTGGCCTCAATTAAAACAATTTAAAGACAAAGCAATCACAACCCGGGGGGGCGGGGCTAGGCCACTGACGTGGGATGACTGTCACATAAATCCCTTCTCCTTCCCCACAATCTGCGGGCAGCGGCACAAAGACGAGAGGAGAGACTTGTGCGTAATGCGTAACTACAGGAGATTACGCAGAAGTTTTCACAGTGAATTCCCAGATTTACGTCACGAGGAAGCATAGATTACAAATACTGAGTAGTGGTAAAATGTCTGTCTCATACTGTTTATTTCAACGCAGATTGTGAACACACAGGTGTTGTAGCTGCAACGTTTGAGGCGTGTCGGTGTGTGAACGGCAGGATCAATTCAGAAACACAGCGTCACATATTGCGATGGACAAAATTTTTTGTTACGTTTCCAAAAGAATAAGACAATAATTCTCTGTTTCAACTTGAATAGTGGGTTTAAACACACTGCAGAGTAGAAAACGGTACGTTGAAGTCCCGTATCCGCCAGAACGGAGTGAGTGAAGCGACGCTCTGCTCACCGATAAGCACCGACGGCTCGGACGCATCTGGCCGCACATTCTCACAGCACAGCGTGACCTACAGCGCCGCATCCGCTCCTTCCACCGCAGAGAGCTTTGCGCTCAGCGGTGCGCACAACTGCTTTATTTGATAATAACTCTGACTGAACAGTTTCTGGAGCCCAGAGACTTCACAATGACGGTGAGGACGGAGGAGAGGCGCTTCTCACGCGATGTAGACTTGGAGCAACAACAAAAAAAAAACAATCAATGCTAACTGTGGCCCGTTTTTTTCTTTTTTGAAAATATGTTAAAGCCACCCAGAAGACTGCACATCATATCCTGGATGCTCCTGTTTTGAGTCATCCACAAGCTGAGAGATTTACAGGCAACCAACACAATATTTCGTGCCAGGCGCGCTGACTAAACAACATTCCGGGGCTCTCACTCTACCTGCAGCGGTACACCCTAAACAGCATTTCTTGTGGACTCCAAACCAAACCAAAAGTCACAATGTAAACCCATAGAATCACAAGAAAAGTTCAAGATAAATCATTTATGTGTGTTTTGGATGCTCCTGTCCAAAAGATTCCCACAACTTACCTGATATGCAGACAATAAAATTCGCTTGAAGAATGATCAGTATTTCCCAAATTATATCCATCCTCTGTCTTCATTCCACGTACATCACTCACTGATTAGAAAAAAAAAGGAAACAATTCAGAGCTTTATCAGATGTGCTGTCCTCCCAAGCTGGATCCCGTTGTACACCTTCCGCCAGGTATTTTCCACACCAGACACATAGCAGTTGATGAAAGCCTGAGGAATAGATGTTGTACGTTCCCACCAGTGAATGTAATTATTTTTTTAAATTCCAGAGTTAGACAAACAAGAGGGATTGAACTCCAGATAAAATGGCCGAGCAGAGCAGCGATCCTCCAGTTCACTGTATTATTCCAGTGCGCCCTAGAACGGACACATCCATCTATCCATCCGGTGCCGTTTCACTGAGCGGACATCCCGTTCTCACCACGGAAAATCACACATGATCGCTTGAGCAAAAATCTGTGTGTGTGGAGAGAGAAACAGAAACAGAGAGAGAGAGGAGAGAGGGAGAGGGAGAGAGAGAGAGAGCGGTCAATGTTGTGGGACGGCTGTGGGATCGGTCTAACACCTGGAGACGCCTCACAACTCCGTAAACTCGCATCGCCAGGTGGCGAGCCTCCGATCCAGACTTCTCCCTTCACCGTGAGAGGCCAGCGTCAAGTACACGAACAACACCGACACTACCAGCAGGAGCTGTCAAAATAAGAGCATCGGTTAAATGGAGGCTGCTGCGCAATTGTGCAGAGATGGAAATGTAAAGATGCAAAAACAACAAACAAATAATCAAAAACAGATTTAAACTATTTAGTTACTAATTATTTAGAAGACTTGTATGGATACCTGCTTTTGCCAGTCAGTAATCTGATGACAGTGACGCTGACTGATGCGTCCAATAAGCTCATCCAACGCTGCAGCATCAGCATCAGTCACTTCAGAGTTCCTCTATACACTGCCACCTTTACGAGTACTTGTTCTACAATCTGTGCTTTTAATTTGTGTTCACAGTTCCTGCTCACGTTGTGCCTGAATGAGTTCAGCTTCACGGAAGGACGCTTTACTCTCCGTCCCACACACCCCGGATTCCTCCAATTCAGTAACGTTGGAGGGAGTACAAGGCTGAATGTGGGAAGTTGGCTGAAGACAACACAAGAAAGATGCGCTTACAGTCATTGGGAATAAATTCCTTGTAAGGAAAATAAAGGGAATTCCGAACAACGCGCCTTGACGCTCAGAGAATACCAGAAACAAGACTGTGTGCTGAAAAGTAGATGGACGCGATCCAAGTAGGTAAAAGTATGTAGATATGATACTGGCGACCAGGATGTCCTCAGAGAAATGAAACGTTGCCAATAATGTGATTAACACGGAAACCGACGCACACCCGCTCACAAGTTGCATCCTCAGAGGCGGCTGGTGGCGGAGCGGCTGTTCCAGTGTGGCACCGGGCGCCCAGCGAGGCCACCAGCTCGGTGCCGCCTTCACACGTTATCAGGATTCACCAGGAGTGACGCGCGCGACCGCGGGGCGCATGCACGGGGACGCGTGCGCCGGCAGGCGGGGCACAGGTGGATGAAAACAGCGCAGTGCAGAAAAATGTCTCATGTTTGTTGTTGAAATATTGTCCGTGTTAAACGAAGCAGGTAGATGCAGCTGATTTCAGGGAGGCAGAAGAAAATGAAGAACTGAAGAAAAAAGAAGTGAAGGCTTATTTTTGTGCCTCTATCACGTAAGAGGACATCACACCCACTGATATCCATTTCCTGGAGACTTAACCCCACCATAACCATAACTACTAATTATCTAAACATGACCTCACCAAGTGTTCCCTACCCAAGTAGAAAATCAGCGGCATGCATTTGCACTGAATATTTGATCACAGGCCTAAAATATTTTATGCCCACTAAAATGTTCACATTGTATAGGAGATATAAGACATTCAGACTGGCCTATGTACATTCAGGCAGTGTTTATGTTGTCAGAAGACAGCCAATTTAAAAAATAAATAAAGAAACTACCAATTTTCATTTGTGTAAATTGTTTATTATTCTGCCTCCATTCATAGAGAAATGGAGAAATGCTGACACAGGAGTGAAAGTAAATGTATGAAGCTAAACTCCAAGAGGACAAGATAGCCTTGCTGCAGAAGTGTAACATTTTGCAAACTCCGGATCTATACCAGGGTCATGTTAGAAGACAGGTTAGATAAATAATTACACAACCCACGTAGGATAAAGCTTTTTTCTTTATCCTTTAGACATATTTTATTGAAAAAGTGTGAGATATATATGAGGTGAGATCTAAAGTGCACAGACTGTGACTGCAAAAATCAAAAAATGTACCAGATTTAAATTTTCATCTTCATTAAAGTAGCCTTCTCGTGGTCCTGCAACGATCCCTGAAAGTCCCATTATGTCCACCACCATCTGTGGAAGAAAACGATGTCTGTTCAATTAGAGTTTCACTTAAGGGAACATTAAGAAGTTGCAGGGATTTAAATCCAACAAGTAGGATGTGTGGAGCACAATGATTGTGTTGTGACTTGCAATGACCACCACAGTTCAGGCTGTTTGCATCAAATGTCCCAAACCTCAGGACTTTACAGCAGAACTTTCTCTTGACAATTCAGCCCTGGATGATTCATTCCCAGCGCACATAATACAGCATGATGTTTTTCTTTTTTTATGAATTATGGTCCCATTTAGGCTGCAGGGTGGCGCAGTTGGTAGCACTGTTGCCTCGCAGCAAGAAGGTTGCCGGTTTGCGTCCCGGTGGGGGGTTTGCATGTTCTCCCCGTGCAGCGTGGGTTCTCTCTGGGTTCTCCGGCTTCCTCCCACACAGTCCAAAAACATATTGAGATTAATTGGTGATTCTAAATTGTCCGTAGGTGTGAATGTGAGTGTGCTTGGTTGTCTGTCTCTACGTGTAGCCCTGCGATACACTGGCGACCTGTCCAGGGTGTCTCCTGCCTTCGCCCTAAGTCGTCTGGGATAGACTCCAGCCCCCCTGCGACCCTAGTGAGGACTAAGCGGTGTATAGATAATGGATGGATGGATGGTCCCATTTAAAGTAAAGCAGACAGTATTACTAAGCTACATGGTGACTGGAAGAGTGTTTTCCAGTATCGACTACCAGCATCAACTCAATCATCAGTATCTACAGTATCATACAAAAACAAATGCTGTCACATTTACAGGATTTTGGCAGCAGCGTGGTTCAGACATATGGGTTCTCGTGACATCCCTAGTGAGCTCTGATAGGTGATAAAGTCTGGCTCACAGTCCTGTTTAAGGTGTGGGATGAAGATGAGATCAAAACATTTTGACACAACAGTAGAAAAATAAGGTTTAAATTTAAACAAATAAATAAAATAATGATAGCAGTGTCCCATTTAATTTGTACATTTTCAAGGCTCTGGTGTGGCTCATACTGGCTCACTGCCCCTTACTGGGACACACAGCCATTGTCAATGTTTGTAACAGCTGTGCTGGATAGCCAAAGTGTCTGATGGGAAAAATGCCTATTGTCATGTTAGAAAAGGAAAAATGTTACTGCAAACTGAGGTCATGAGTTCCCTCTCCACTCTCAGAACATTTTGATAACAAACCAGTACCTTCCTAAAATGTCTGTATTATGCACCAACTCATATTTTCTCAAACTTTTATTTCCTGAGATGAACATCTAACTTGTGTTTTAAATTCTTCTCCACAGTACCAGGAGTGGACAGAAATAGTAGAGACTTTATTTATGTAGTTTTCTTGTCCTACTGACGTGAAAAGAAATCTGAGAATAGCTGGATGTTGGCATCGTAGGGACCCCATGGTTGACAGGATGGGCAAGTTTGTCCCTTCCATAAACCAGCAAAATGTACGAAATGTACTGAACTTCTAATTGATAGTTGATATTTTTTCCCTCAGTTTTTTATTTATTTATTTTTTTACAGCTTTTAATTGCACAAAATGTAGGTTTACTTTATGTTTTTGACATTACATAATTGTTACTATTCATGTTTTTTACTGCATTTAATTGATTTTCTTTTCCCTTCAAAAGCTTTTCACTTTGTAAATTGTTGTTTTGAACAATTCGATGGCACAACAGACCTGTTGTTAATTTCACCGGTCATACACTGAAGAAATTGATTGGAAAACAACTTTTTTCCAGAAGTAGTGGACAATTACAGCAATAATAGCGGCATAAAGCAGCACAGATACAAGACATGAGGTCTATTGGATAATTAAATGTTTTCTTACAGACACAACTGAATATTTGTCTGCAAACTACTAATCAATTACAAACACATCTGTGAGCTGCACTGAGTGACATGTTCCTTTATTACCATGAACACACACATTGTACTTTATTTTGACTTAGTCCCACTTACATTGTCGTGAAATACTCTCCAGCACATCAGATGTAGATTCATCTGCCACTGAAAACAGTTCTCAACAAATGCTCTGTTTTCTCTTGCTTGAGCGTCTTTTGTTAAAAACAGAATAACTAGAAGTGGAATAAATTTCAGGTTTCATGATCAAAATACGTCTGCTACACTTATGAGTCAATACATCGTGAACAACAAACAGTTGCCTGTGTGTTAACCCACAGGGCACTACAGGGCTCTACAGAGTCTGTGAAGGTGCTGTGGTATCTGACACAAAGACTTAAGCAGTAAATGCTGGAGATGCTTTGAGTCAGACTTGTTCTAGCACATCTCCCAACAAACTGGGTTTGTCTCTACTCAGTCCATCAGACAATCACCACTGCTGAACAGAAGCACAACACGAGCCTTGTTGTTTTAGAGATGCTCCAATCCAGTGGTCTGGCTGCACTGATTTGGCCTTTGGGTCATTCCATGAAAATTCACCCAGACTTCAGAACTTTTTCTAGTTCATGTTATGAACAAAAAAAAAGACAAAACAAAACAAACAAAAAACCATCTACCTACACCATGAAGCCTTGCAAAATCATACAGTTTTTACAGTTTTGATACTTTTGCAGTTCTGAACTTTTAAAAGCCTCAAGAAAAAGTTGGAAGTTGAAATCATGTCAGTAGCTTATAGCTTATGCTGAT